CCATGTCAAGGGGTTCAGGCCGTTCCGAATAGTTTCTTCTTCATTCCTGCTCCACTGACCACCTCTACCCTTATTTCCAATGAGTTAACTTTTTATCGTGAATTGCCTTTAAGATGTAATTTCAACAAGGTATCATGACTGTCATGATATTCTCCGACTGTAATATGAACACTAACCATTCTTCTACCATTTCGTACAATGTTATCCCTGGAATTGGAGGAGAGCATTAGGGGAGGAGGTGGGGGAGGGGCGGAACAGGGGGAGCAAGTAGAAATCACTAAAAAGCCTAAGGGTCAAGTCAGTGGTAAGGTAAGGTCTAATTTTGTGTTCTTATGATCACGATAAGATCCTTTACCACATAGGACAATTTTTGTTAACTCTCTACCCACCTCTGTCCATGTCCATTAGCACCCCTCCACGAAGCATTGACTTCCACGTGAAGCAACTAGCATCAAAATGCGCAATGCATACGCAGAGAAAAAGAGGTCCCGCCACTGCCGGGAAACAAAACTGATCATTTCACATGAAAGAACATCCAGCAGGGACGAGCAAGAGGCTAGGAAAGCCACATTGATACTGGTAGGTTCCTGGACCGAACTCTTTCCTAGGGAAGCTTAATTCTCGCCTTCAATTATCGTACAGCAATCATCAGAAGAGCTGTTTTCACCCTATGAAATGCATGGATAATGAGGTTCCGCTTCACACGAGCAGAGGTCACAACTCACGAGGATTACAACTTCCAGCTCAATGGGCATAGAAAGGGAACACTTTTCAAACCGAGACGAGGGTTAGGAGTTTTGGCAGAACGCCGAAGTCTTGCTCAGTACAACAAATGCACTACGAGACAGTACTTCATGCAAGACAAGTACCCTCTATTTCGAAAAACGAGAAGAGCATCGAGTGCAGACCACACACCACAAGTGACGACGGCCAAAAAAAAAGAAGCCACTTTTTTCTTGGCCGTCGTCACTTGTGGTGTGTGGTCTGCACTCGACGCTCTTCTCGTTTTCAACCAACAGTACCAGATCTGTAATTACTACAATACTAAATGAGACAACTGCGTAGAATAATGTAGTTCAAAAGCCTTTTAATCAAACAAACTTAATGACACATCCTGCTAC